GCCCGGCATGGAGTGCCAGGTGCGCGCTGGGCGCGTTGCCGCTTTTGGGGCTTGGCCCTCCCCGCTCGCCTCCTCTTCTTTCTCTCTCTCTCTCCTCGTCCGCTGTCGTCTGCTGCTGCGTTCTCTCCTTCTCCCTCTCTTCCCCTCCTCCATCCCCCTCCTCCCCCTCTCCCTCCCCTTCTTCTTCCTCGCTTTCTTCCCTTCTTCCTCCTTGGTCGTCCTTCTGGGGCAGGGGCCCAGCTGCGCGTTCTCTCGCCCGACGGCTCCTTTGGAGTGTGCCGGTACTGGACCACAGTAATTTTTTACGGCCCCTGATCTTTCGCACTTGCACATGTGGTGAGAATCGATGCGTTCCCGAGGCGTGTAAAAAATGCAATGTCAAAACAAACTATCGAGAAACGAAACATAATTTCTTAGAAAACTATATACGTCCCAACAAAGAACACTATATAATCAAACGCACGTACGTCCTATAGAAATATTAGGGCGACGCGTCGAAACTCATGGTATTAATTTATGTTTTTAATATGATTTTTTTTTTTCTGGCGTGGGTCAAGGGCCGAAACAGTTCACCGAAAACTAATCTTGACGATAGTCTGATTGGTGTCTCATTGAATTATTTGCCTGTTTACAAAAAAACAAATTTTGTATCTTCGAACAAATCGACGAATACTCTTTACTAAATGAAGCGTTCTCAATCGGCGGTACGTTGTGCCAACACAACACAGCTGGTGCGACGCCGTGCCTCTTATTTTCCTTATTAGAACAGAATCATACAAGTTCAGAGTCTGTTTACCCTTTGATCATATGTTGTTGCGACTTACCAACAAATCATGTTTCGTTTTCTGTTTCTAAACTTCATGTGTTTCGAATTCTGACTCAATTCTTGTGTCCTACGCACGTTTCCGAACTCATTTTGTCAAACCTTTTGTTGGACAGTGCAACTAATTCTGGTCTTCTTTCAACTCGCGCTTCCTGCGATATTATTGCATGTTTTTTTTGTTTCTGAAATCGCTTTCTTCTTTTGGAACACTTACTTGGGGAACAATGCTAAATTGTGGAATACCCGGTGGATAGATCGGATCATGTGGAAAATTGCCTTTCTTGTCTGTCGTCTTATCTTGGTCGATTTTTTTTTTTTTTTTTTTTTTTTTTTTTTTTTTTGACAGGTGTTAAACGCCAACTGGCTTTTCCTCGGGCGTCTCGGCTTCGAATATATAACGGTCAACTAAAGATTAACCTGAAGAAAAACGGCTTCGCGCTTTGCAAAACTGCTTCCAAGAGCCGCTCGACCATCATCTTCATATGTATTTTTTTTTATCGGACCTCTGCATCACAATCATCTCCGCCAACTCACGCAGAAATGCCAAATTGCATCCAAAGTTGGAGAAAGAACCTGTCTCTGACAGGGCAATGAAAGCCTATTCGATAGACTGGCGGGAACATAGAAAGAAACAATGATGACGACGACGACCGCGACGACGATGATGATGATGATGATGATGATGACGGAGGGAGGAGGGGGAGGCGGAGGAGGAGGAGAGGAACGCGGGGCACCGTCTCTTCAAAACGAGGACCCAACACCACAGGATGGTTGGGAAAACAACGAGCGATAAAGAGAGAAGAAAAAAAGAAGAGAATTAGCCTGGCGAAGGACCCAACCATATGCAATTGTGAGTAATGCTGGTGTGAGTACCGTCTTCGGTGGATCTCCCTATGGGGCCACGAACCGTTTGAGGGGTGTGCCGAAAGGGGTGTGGGGGCGGCATGCGAACGTTGCCACTGGGGCCTTCGGTGGAGCTCCTTATGGGGCCACGAAACGTGTGAGGGGTGCACCGAAGTTGGTGTGGGGGCGGCATGCGACGCAGCCACTGGGGCCTTCGGTGGAGCTCCCTGTGGGGCCACGAAACGTGTGAGGGGTGTGCCGAAATGGGTGGTGGGGAGGCATGCGAACGCAGCCACTGGGGCCTTCGGTGGAGCTCCCTATGGGGCCACGAAACGTGTGAGGGGTGTGCCGAAATGGGTGGTGGGGAGGCATGCGAACGCAGCCACTGGGGCCTTCGGTGGAGCTCCCTATGGGGCCACGAAACGTGTGAGGGGTGTGCCGAAATGGGTGGTGGGGAGGCATGCGAACGCAGCCACTGGGGCCTTCGGTGGAGCTCCCTATGGGGCCACGAAGCGTGTGAGGGGTGTGCCGAAATGGGTGGTGGGGAGGCATGCGAACGCAGCCACTGGGGCCTTCGGTGGAGCTCCCTATGGGGCCACGAAACGTGTGAGGGGTGTGCCGAAATGGGTGGTGGGGAGGCATGCGAACGCAGCCACTGGGGCCTTCGGTGGAGCTCCCTATGGGGCCACGAAACGTGTGAGGGGTGTGCCGAAATGGGTGGTGGGGAGGCATGCGAACGCAGCCACTGGGGCCTTCGGTGGAGCTCCCTATGGGGCCACGAACGTGTGAGGGGTGTGCCGAAATGGGTGGTGGGGAGGCATGCGAACGCAGCCACTGGGGCCTTCGGTGGAGCTCCCTATGGGGCCACGAAACGTGTGAGGGGTGTGCCGAAATGGGTGGTGGGGAGGCATGCGAACGCAGCCACTGGGGCCTTCGGTGGAGCTCCCTATGGGGCCACGAAACGTGTGAGGGGTGTGCCGAAATGGGTGGTGGGGAGGCATGCGAACGCAGCCACTGGGGCCTTCGGTGGAGCTCCCTATGGGGCCACGAAACGTGTGAGGGGTGTGCCGAAATGGGTGGTGGGGAGGCATGCGAACGCAGCCACTGGGGCCTTCGGTGGAGCTCCCTATGGGGCCACGAAGCGTGTGAGGGGTGTGCCGAAATGGGTGGTGGGGAGGCATGCGAACCCTGGAGGGAGGAGGGCGAGGAGGAGGAGAAGGAGGAGAAGGAACGCGGGGACCGTCTCTTCAAAACGAGGACCCAACACCACAGGATGGTTGGAAACAAGAACAGAGAAGGCAAGCAACAACGAGAAACAACATAAAGGGAGAAAAGGGGAGGAAACAGCTGGGAGAAAAAGGGCCTAAACCCACGTGCACGGCGAACGCGCAGCGCGCGCGCGCAGGGCAGGTATCACAACCCCAATTGCCCTCGACCTTGATATTCTTCTGCGTTCACTCGTGCCTCTTCTTCTTCTCTTACGCACGTTCTCGTCGCACCGCTGCATCTCATGGTATATTCCTACTACGCTCTTTTCATTTTCCCCCTGCAAATCTGGTATGTATGTATGTATATATATATATATATATATATATATATATATATATCGGTATATGTATATGCATACACATGTATTTATGTATATATGTATATGTATATGTATGTATGCTTTTATATATACATATATAAACACGCATATATACATGTATATATTTGTACAATTGTTGTACATACATGTTTTAGATGGATACATCGCTACATCATTACAATCTGGCTTTCGCACAGCTAAGCGATCATTGATTCACTTGTTATTCTCGATAGTGATTTGATCCCGCCGCAGATATACAACAAAACAAATCGTGACCCAGGAAAGAATATCAATTTAATCACAATATCCAGATATTGTGTATGTATGTATGTATGTCCCGCCCTCCGGCCGCCTGAGGCCCCGCCCGCCTGCTCTGTCTTACCGATTAGAGCTTTGCGTAGCCCGACTAGCTTTTAACCGGAAGAGGTTCGCTCTCGACCCGCAGACCAACAAACAGTATTTATGTATGTATGTATGTATATATACATATATATATATGGATATATTCCGAGGCAATATACAACATCCTGAAACGGTCGGCATTGCATATTCCGAAACAAACCTGTATTCGTTCTTCCGGCATTCGCAAATCCGGTGATATAATATATTGCCACATGTGTAAGCCATCTCGGTCACGTAGCGAATGTGGATCTCGACATGCGGTTTCGACACTACATATACACACACGCGCTGCCGTGCCGGTGGGAACGGGGTGGGCGTGTGCTGAAGTTCTTTGCCTCATCCCTCAGGCCTCGGCCCTCGACCGCGAGGATTCCTCTATCGACCCGGACCTTAACGGAGCTTGGCGCGTGACAGGGGCGTTTTCCCATTTTTCGGGCCCAGGAGGGCCCTAAGACGGGCCACGCGGGCCCCAAGAAGTGCCAAAAACGGTCCAAGAGGGTTTTGATTCGCCGAACTAACGCTCCCAAGCGTTCAAGATGGCTCCCAGACAGCCCAACAAGCTTTTAAGACACCCCAAGAGAAACCCAAGAGTCTTCCCAAGAGAGCTTCGACAAGACTAAATCACCGAGTGTTTTGGGGTTCTCTACTTTTCTAGGTTCCGACGCTCCATGACGTCCCAAGGCCCCCCCAGCCGCCACAAGACGGCTCCAGAAAACCCCAGGAGGGCCCCAAGACCGCCCAAGAAGCGGCCAAGACGGCCCAGGAGGGCCCCAAGAGAGGGAGCACGAACCCCAAATCCTGGTTCCGCCCCAAGACGCGCCAACAGGCCCCAAGAGGCCCCCCAAAAGCTTCAAGAGGCCCCCAAGATGCCCCACGAGGCTCCAAGAGGCCCCAAAGAGGCATCAAACGGCTCCAAAACAGCCGCCCAGAAGCCTCACACCTCTATCCAAGAGGCCTCAGACCAACAACCTAGGCCCGGTGGCAGAATGGGCCGAAGGCCACTAGTAGGTCTGTGTATGTATATAGTTCTGTATGATTTTAAATGCTTATAGCCGTATTTACATGTATACATACGACGAAGAAGCGGCGTCAAGAGAACTACAACAACATAAGGAGAGACATGTAATCAACCTAATCAACCCTCGCGCTGACTGTTACCCCTTCAACTCGCCAGCCGTCAAATATAAAACCGTCCGGTAGAAATTGTTCAAACCAACAATCGTGCCATCCACGTGTTCGGATTTTGAATGGTCCTCTATGCTCCGAGACGGCCTGCACCAAAAAGAAGGGAGGATGTCAAACTTTGTCCTACACAACCCCGGAGAAAACCCACCAACATCCAACAACACACCTTCATAGTCCCGCGAACGCTCGGCCAAATACGGAATATTATTCCAACAAGCGCTGGAAAAGAGCAAACGAAATGCATCCAGTCCGAAATCCGGTAGATAAACCCACATGATCTGCAATCCATCGTTTGCAAGCCGACATTCTCGCGCAATCCATCATGCGACAACTGCGTTCGATACTTCAAGGCAATGCATGTGAAAAAAGGCCACCGGAAATCATATAGCAACGATGTATGCCAGGAGGGAACAGCAATCGTCAATCGTATACATCGGACAAACTTGCACTAAACCCTTCGTGCGTACGTACTGCATGCCAAAGCGAACCCCTACTGTTCAATGTCATGCTCGTCTTTACTTTTTCCGCGAGCCTGATGCTCTTCTCGTGCGGGGGGAAATGAAGAGAGATGGGGATGCGTTCCCTCTCCCTATCCTCGAGGTCCGCGAGGGTTCTCCCCGCCTCCCCGAGCTGCTCCCGCACCCGCGCCTGGGAGAACGACGAGAACTGTGCACGATGCCCTACCCCGGCCTGGCCTTTCCTGAACCCAGGATTACCGCATACGGCAAGATCGCGTCGCGATGACACGGGCGTTGGTTAGAGGGAGAAACAAACATTTACACGGATTTTAGGACCTCCGCTCGGAGTTCCAACCTATTGCATACTTTTCTTTTTTCGGTTGGTTGCTGACACCGCGTCATGGTTAAACCTGGAGGGATCGCGGCTTTCTGGTTGCGCATGCCACTTTGGGCGCCGCTCAGGGGGGGGCGATACATGGGGGGGGAAAAAGGGTGGACATTTCGGGCCCTGAAAGCCTCTGTGTGGGCCCTGAACGGCCGCTTTTTGCCGCCCTCGCTGTCCGCCCATTTATCGCACCCGCACTACGCGACGCCCAACAGCTCGACACCGCGCTGACTCTGGCCCACTCGCGACGCTCAATCTTGAACGCTTGCGCCGTGGCGCAATCCTGCCGTTTGTGCAGGCACCGATCCTGGCCAGGATCGCGCATGCGCCTAGCTGGGCTGGCCAGAGAGACGCTGACGTCAGGCTGTCGTTCAATACGTGGCCGCTGTCGGTCTGAGCGAAGCACTCGTGGCTTGTACGCATGTGCACGGAAGGTGGGAATTAGGATGATCTGCGAAGGTGGAAGTGGCCAGGGCTGGAAAACTAGCAGGGGCTGAAAGGGAATCCGAAACAAGTGTTGCACGCACATACCTGGAAGGTGGGAATCTCTGATAATCCGCCAGGGTGGAAGTGGCGAGGGCCAGCAAACTGGCAGGGGCTGAAACGAACCCGAAGCAGTTGGCATGAGGTCGCCAGGGCTGGAAAATCTGATGGGGATTTTGGGCAGGGCTGTGCATATGGGAGAGACTGGCCCCAGCATTTTTTAAGTCATGCGAACGTTCGACGTCGTACACCAATCCCAGGCCAGGCTCGTCCCGAACCCAAAATTGGTGCATGACGCCCCCCTGCCCCCGCCAGGGAAGCATGTGCGCGCGGGGAATGATCCCTCCGAGGCTCCAGATCAGGGTACAAATAAGCGTGTTTCCCCATGGCGCGATTCTTAGGCCGTAGAGTTCGCGCATCGCGTCGTGCGATGTGCGGCGCGTGAAAAATTCTTCGCGCTTTCGCGCCGCTCCCTGGAGAATGCCACCTCGTCGGGCCGGGCTGCGGCGCTCGAAACGTGATTTGTTCCCCTGGAGGTAGAAGTGGCCTAGATACTAGCGTCCCGAACATGGTGGAAACCTGTTGAGATTTGGGCAACCGCCCGCTCCCTCGTTGCTTCGCCAAAGCAGCATCAACCGTATGCCCGTGCCTCGGGTACCGTTTTGTTCCCATCCCGCCTGTGCTGTTGGAGCTTCGGCAAACGGTCCCTCGTGCCCCGTCGGGAACATGCGGGCCTCAGCCCACTTCAACGCACCCGTCACTGGAATCGTGCCCCATAGGGAACTCGGCCTGCAGCCTGAATGACGGGGCAGCGCTGCGCGCCATGTGTGCGCGCGCCCTGTCGTACTCAAGTGGTAACCGCTCGTTTCAAGCGTCGCCATGGGTGCTGTCAAAGTTGCGCCTAGAAACCTTTTGCGGCACTCATCCCTTCAGTCGTACTGGAACTTCGCAAGGCCGAGCGCGTGCGCTAACATCGTGACTGCTGCAATTCTCCGTGCGCGCACTGAATGTCCGGAGGCGAACGGCTAGATCAGTTTGCGGCCCTGCGACAAAAAGTCCGAGCCTGGGGCGCGGATGATGCGATTGTTAGACGTCGTCGCTCTGGATCGCATGAGGCGCCACTCTGCTGGGCCTCCCATAGGCCCACGAAAGCGGCTCGCAGATCGCGGCATCCCAAGGACGGCGAGGTCTCATGGTGGTCTGCGTGGGACGCCACTCCGCTGGAACCTACCGAAGGTCCACGAAAGTGGCGACAGTCCCGCATAGCGCAAACCCCAGGGACGGCGAGGTTTCATGGTGGTCTGCGAAAGACGTCACTCAGCTGGAGCCCACGAAGGTGGCGACAGTTTCGCAGATCGCAGCCCCCCAGAGACGGCGAGGTCTCAGGGCGTCTGCGTGGGACGCCATTCCGCTGGACCTCTTAGGGGCCCACGAAAGTGGCGACAGTTCCGCAGATCGCAGACGCCCAGGGACGGCGAGGTCTCATGTTGGTTTGTGTAGGACGTTACTCTGCTGGGCCTCCCAGGAACCCACGAAGAGTGGCGGCAATTTCGCAGATCGCACCCCCCCAGTAGGAACGGTACGAGCAAGGTATGCAAGGAGGCAGGATAAGAAGGGAGGAGGAGGCAGGAGGCATGAGGATGGGGGAGGGTGGAGGAGGGAGGAGGAGGAGGAGGAGGAGGAGGAAGAGGAGAAGGAGGAGGAGGAGAAGAAGGACGAGGAAGACGAGGAGGAGGAGCAGGAGGAGGAGAGGATTGGAGACTACAGTGCTCTATTCGACACGAGAACCCTACACAGGAGGGTTGAACCAAGAAAAAGCACAAAGCGCGCGTGGCTGCAAGATCAAATGTAGCGGGGGTGGTCTCATATTTGTCCGCTGTGCGCTCGCCCACCATCCGTGTCAAAAGACAATGCACCGATGCGGAGGGGTGCCAGCACGGCGGCACAATTCCCGAAACAGCTTGCCTGTAAACATTCCACATGAGACTCTCCTAACGCCTGGTGGTGGATACCGGGTCCTCGGAATACTGACGTAGCCCATCCTGGCCCCCCAAGCCCACCATCATGGCCGCCCATCGTGGCCCCCCATCGCAGCCCCCTATCGCTGCCCCCCATCGCAGCCCCCATCGTGGGCCATCGCGAGCTGTGCAGTGCTGTTTCGGCTCTTCACGCCGCAAAAGGGGTCGTGCCCGATGCGTGCTGTCACGTGCACTGGAGCGCTTGTTGCCGCCTGACGCGCTCTGTCCGCATCGCGCACGTGGCGCACCTGGCGCGGCTGGAGCACGTGGAACAATTGGCGCCCGAAGGGCATCTGGCGCGCCAGCCGCGCCTGGCACGCTTGGGCCCCCGAGCAGTCTGGCGGATCTGGTGCGCGTGGCGCACCTGGCACGCGTGGCGCACCCCGCGAGCGCCCGTATCGGTTCCCGATGGCTGCCCATCTGAGGGCGACCTCTGCCTATGCTCAGTCTTGGGTGCTATCTACAGGAGGGGGAGGAGGAGGAGGAGGAGGAGGAGGAGGAGGAGGAGGAGGAGGAGGAGGAGGAGGAGGAGGAGGAGGAGGAGGAGGAGGAGGAGGAGGGAGGGAGGAGGAGGAGGAGGAGGAGGAGGAGGAGGAGGAGGAGGAGAGGGAGGAGAGGGAGGAGAGGGAGGAGAGGGAGGAGGAGGAGGAGGAGGAGGAGGAGGAGGAGGAGGAGGAGGAGGAAGGAGGAGGAGGAGGAGGAGAAGGAGGAGGAGGAGCTCTTGGCGTCCCCGTTGGCAGCTTGACTCCCTACCCCTGCCCCCTCCTGGGTCTGGGCGGGGGGCGCCCCGAAGCGTCAGAGGGTCCCTGAGGGCCCAAGGTGGCCCCAGGCTTCGGTCGGGCGTGTCCCCCTGCAGGCGGACCCTGGGCGAATAATTAAACATACTTGAAACACAGTCCAAATAGTCCAAACTAGTCCATTTGTTTTATTTACCACTTTTGAAGATTCCTCCTGTCGAGGGACAGTCCCGACTGAAGTCTGGATAGCTCAACATGGATTGACGATAGTCCGAGATGGTTCCAGATGGCCTCCGACATGCATGCAAGAGGCCAGACGATCTCCACACTACGACCTCAAGTGGCCACGGAGCCCCCCCAAAGGGTGTCCCGAGATGCCGCATCCATTCAAATATACATTGCTTTCCAATGATCTTTGCCGTATCTCCGTCTTTCAATGGGCCTCAGGATGATTCCAATGTCGCCCCAGAGAGGCCCAGGAGGGGCTCCCAGATTGACCCAAACAGCCCCGAGGGCGCCCTAAGAGCGTCGCAATAGACGATGTTGAGGGTTCAGACAGGGCGGGGCGGGACTAATTGGGGACCCCTCCTTCTTTGATCGCTATCCTTCAAGATGCCCCCCAAGGTCCACAAGAGAAGGAGGGCTCCGAGCGCCTACAAAACGACACCCAGAAAACTCAGAGGGGCTCCCAGAGTGAAAGATCCGTGCAGGCCTTGATACTTGATTCATGTAGTCGTCGTAATGAGCTTCCAAGATGATCCGACATCCAAATATCACCAAGGGTCTTTCTAGCTGACTCCTGGGCAATCTGATCCCGAGCTTCGGTTTGACGCTAGCGACTACACTTCCGTGGTCAAAGCAACTCGCCTGGGCATCGCTTTTGCGTCCAAGGAGGGGGTTCGCAAATCATGGCCGGAGGCACATGCGCGGACGAGGGGGGGAGCCAAAGAACGTTGTGGAATAGTACTAACAGCACGAAGAAAAAGAAAAATAAGAGGCCACGACATCCGGGAAGATTCCATGGCCTCAGCCATGAGACCCACTCATCCTGGTCATCACGCCCCGCTTGGCCGCCTCCGAAATCCCAGCCGATCCTGGGCCCAGGATCGGCCTGGCCAGGATCTGTGCTCGTGTCCAGCTCTCGTCTCGGCTCCACGCAGGGGCGGCCCTGCAGCGGGCAAGCGTGATCTGTGGTGCGCGGCTTCAGGAGGCCGTGGGTAGGATCAAACTCAGGCGCGCAGATCAGTGCTGGGGGGGACCCCTAATGGTGAGGGGGAAGGACGGGAGGGTACCGGGAGGCCACACAGAAATATACACACAAGTCCCAGGACTCGCCCTGTTTTCCCATATCTTCTGGGTCTTCGTCTTCCCCCCCCACTTCCCACATCTTTCCATCTTTTCCCGGGAGTCGTCGATGAATTGTGTCTGTGTGTTTTTTTCTCCCCTCCCGAGCTGGATTGGCGACAGCCCCCCGTATCGAAGCCGAGCGCTCCTGGGCGGGGTGGGGTCGACGGCTCCTCCCCCCTGGGCCCGGCCCCCCTCGACGCCGCGGCGCGGGCCCGCACCGGTGGTCACCGCGGCGAGGGGCCACTCTTCTCAAGCAGCCGATGTCTGGATGTTTTTAATATTCGGCGGCGAGCGGGAGGAGGAGGAGGAGGAGGAGGAGGAGGAGGAGGAGGAGGAGGAGGGATGTGGAGGAGGAGGAGGAGGAGGAGGAGGAGGGAGGAGGAGGAGGAGGAGGAGGAGGAGAGAGGATGAGGATGGGAGGAGGATGAGGATGGGGAGGAGGATGAGGATGGGGAGGAGGAGGAGGGAGGGAGGAGGGAGGAGGAGGAGGAGGAGGAGAGGAGGAGGGAGGAGGAGGAGGAGCAGGAGGAGGAGGAGGGAGGAGGAGGAGGAGGAGGAGGAAGGCGGTGGGACTTTTCAGAAGCCTTCTGGCCTCCTGAGGAAGTTTTCTGTGTCTTCGGGGGATTGGCTTCGAACATTTCCCAGAAGGCTGGAAGAGTTCGGAGCCTTCTGAGAAGGCCTTCTCTTTCTCACTTCCCCCCCTCGCTCGCCGCCGACTGGAAGCCCCGACCCTTTCCCCAGGGCCAGCTTCTTGCCTCGCGTCGTTTTTTGACGGCCCAACGGCCTGGCGAGGGCCCCCAAGGGCCCAAAACCTCTGTCTTCATTATTTTCAAGACGCTGGTCATAACTCGGCGGTCTCCGGCGGCCGTCAGGGACGATCCGGCCACACCCAGAACGCCCCCAGCGAGGCGCAGCTGCTGGAAGGCGCCCCGAAGAACCTTGAGAAGAACTTTGAGTGCCTCCTCCCTCCCTCCTCCTGCTCCTCCTCCTCCTCCTCCTCCTCCTCTCCTCCTCCTCCTCCTCCTCCTCCTCCTCCTCCTCCTCCTCCTCCTCCTCCTCCTCCCCAAAACCTGACGTGGGCCCGGACCACAGGTCCCTCCCGGGACGGGCCACTCTCTGCGCGCAGCCGATTGCCACCCCAGGGCGCCCTCGCAGCGGCGAGCTCCTCCCGGCCCGCCTCGAGGCTGGACCACTCCTTTCGGGGGCGCCGAAGAGGCGGAGGAGGAGGAGGAGGAGGAGGAGGAGGAGGAGGAGGAGGAGGAGGAGGAGGAGGAGGACGAGGAGGAGGAGGGAGGAGGAGGAGGAGGAGGAGGAGACGAGGACGAGGAGGAGGAGGAGGAGGAGGAGGAGGAGGAGAGGAGGAGGAGGAGGAGGAGGAGGAGGAGGAGGAGGAGGAGGAGGAGGAGCAGGAGCAGGAGGAGGACGAGGAGGAGGAGGAGGAGGAGGAGGAGGAGGAGGGCGGGCGAGGGGGGGGGAAGTGAGAAGGAGGAGGCCTTCTCAGAAGGCGCGGATGGGGGTGCGCAGGTCGCGGCCCGAGGCCCGTGCGCGGCTCGAGAGGTGCCAGGGGAAGTACCGAAGTAAGAGGAGGCGCCATGAGATCTGGGGGGATATCGTGGCACTGGCCATGGCACGGTCGGCCCGTGTCGGAAGGATGCGCGATGAGGATGCAAGAGCCCTGGACGCCCACCTCGAAGCTCTTCCAGCGGGGCGCGGCCGACGAGAGTGGCCAAGGATGGGCCCAGGAGGCAAGGATGCGAGGGGTACCCTTGGGAAGGCTGCCCATCCTAACTATGCGGGGGTCGACTGTATCAGACCCCCCCCCTCTAATCACCCCCCCCCTTTGGCCGCCCCCGAGCTCCTCGTCCAGCTGCCGCCTCATGTGCCGCACCTTCTCGCCCGCGGACCCCAGGGCGTCCTCGGCCGCCTCCTGCCGGCAGGGGGGGCGGGGGCGGGGCGAGGCCGCCGCTCGGGCTCGGCCCGAGCGCCGGCCAAGGGGGCCCCCAGATCTCCGACGACGGACTTTTGTCAACTGGCGGTTTCTCTTCGGCTCGTCCTCCTTCTTCGTTCTCCTCCTCCTCCTCCTCCTCCTCGTCCTCGTCCTCCTCCTCCTCCTCCTCCTCGTCGTCCTCCTCCTCCTCCTCGTCGTCCTCCTCCTCCTCCTCCTCCTCCTGCTCCTCGTTCGGGCCCCGGGACCACCAAACATGGATGCGGGGGAGTCCAAGAGGGGGCCGCCCCAGAGGGGTGCGAACATGCCGCAGTCCGACGCATGTGCGCAGACGGAGCGGGGGGGCCATGGATTGCACTGAAAGAAGAAGAGGCGCCAGGAGATCTGGGGAGATAGAGTGGATGCCAGTCCACAAGAAACCTTCCACAAGAAAACCAGCCTTGAGACCCCAGGACGTCCATTGACCTTTGGTGCGGGGGGTCTTCGCGCTCTCCATCGCCAAACCGTCGAAGTCCAAGAAGCCCAGGGCGCCCTGGAGGCAAGCAGGGTGCTCCTTGGCATGGGCCTCCACTGCATCGTGGCCCCCGCCATCGTCTCCCCCGCTGGTCACCACCCCTCCCTCGGCCGCCCGCGCTGGCACTGGGACGACACACGGTCCCTGGGCCATCGGCGGGGGCCCCGCGCGAGAATGGATCGACATTTCTGCTCGTTTGGTTTCTGTTCCAAGCTTTGTGGAGCCCTCATTCTTTGAGCATTGTTATTATTGTTGACCCCAACGGTGCACATGGTGTTTTTTCCATTGGAGTGCCCCCCTCGGGGCTCGCAACCAATTTTTTTATTAAGGAACGTCTTCCTGCTCAAACTGGGTTGTTCGGCCCCGAACTACAGTAACAACGGCTCCCGCCTGATACTTCCACACAACCTAGTCCAAAATCGCGGTGTCGCGCGGGACTTCCTCACCTTTAATGTAGGAATCGCGATTTCGCGTGGGACTTCCCCACATTTCATTCAGAGGGCGCGCCCTCGACACTCAAGAATCACGCTCTCGCTTTGGCATTGCTCACAACTTATTTTGGAATCGCGCTATCGCTCGAGATTTCTTCGCGATTCATGCGAGACTCATGTGTGAGCGAACCTCTTGCTCGACCCGGCCGCCTGGGCCCGCCTTCCAGGCCCGCCCGCTAGGGTCTGCTCGCCCGATCTGCCCGTGTGGTTCTGCCACGTCTTTTCTGCTCCTGGCCCCTCCTGCTAATTTCTCTCGTGCTCCATCCTCCCTCCCTCTTCCATCCGTCCTCTTTCTCTGTTTTAGGGGCTGCGGTAAAAAGGCGTTGCATGTGAGGAAGCTATCCCCCAAAGGGGTACGATCGAAGACGAAAACAACGGATATCGAGGATTTGGGAGATACGTGTTGGCACGCGATCAGTAAGCGCGAATCGTCTTCAACTGTTCGTTGTCGTGCTAGTTGTTTCTGAAATCTCATTTCCCACAAACCATTATTATTGATCCACCTTTAGGTCAACATTCTATTTTTCAGATGAAGTGCTCCTTCCGGGGCTCGCACCCGGTTTTTCTTACAAAAGACAATGTGGGGTCACCAAACTGTGCCCTGGCCCCCCCGGTTTTCACAAAAAGCGGCTCCCGCCTGATATTTCCTCACAGTTTATTTCCAAATCGCGCTCTCGCGTGGGATTTCCTTACAATGCAGGAATCGCGCTCTCGCGTGGGACTGCTTCGCAATTTCTTCAAGCGCCGCGCCCTCGACACTCAGGAATCACGCTCTCGCTGTGGATTTCTCACGATTTACTTGGGACTCGCGCTATCGCTCGAGACGTCTTCGCGATTCATGCAAGACGCACGGTTCAGCAACCCGCCTGCTCGACCTGGCCGCCTGGGCCTGCCTTCCCGACCCGCCCGTTGAGGTCTACCCGCCCGATCTGCCCGTCTGGTTCTGCCACGTGTTTTTTGCTACTAGCCCCTTCCTGCTACTCTCTCTCGTGCTCCTTTCTCCTCCCTCCCCCTTGTCCCTTCCTTTCATCCGTCCTCTCTTTCCGTGCCTTAGGGGGTGCACGAAATACACGTTACAGGTGCGGAATTTGTACCCCTAACATGGTACGATCGAAAACAAAAAATGCGGATATCGAGGGTTTGGGATATACGTGCTGAGCGGCCCGCGAACAGATAGAACTGCCAGCATTCTTGTGCTGTTGTGTTTGCTGCTGCTGTTTGTTGTTGTTGCTGAGCTTCCAACACCACAGAATGAATGTTGTTGTTCCCCCCATATGGTAACCATGGTAAGTTTTTCCATTGAGGTGCCCACTTTGGGGCTCGCACCCTGGTGTCCAAACTGGGCCCCTGGCCCGCGACTTGCAACAACAATGGCTCTCGCTTGATACTTCCCCTCTCATAGTATTCCCAAATCGCGCTCTCGCGCGGGACTTCCTCACAAGGTATGCAGGAATCGCGCTCTCGCATGGGACTCCGTCGCAATCTGCTCAGACGCGGCACCGTCGACAATTAGGAAGCACGCTCTCGCTTTGGCCTTTCTCATGATTTACTTGGGAATCGCGCTATCGCTCGAGCTCTCCTCGCGGTTCATGTAATACTCACGCTTCAGCAGCCCGCCGGCTCGACCTGGCCGCCTGGGCCTGCCTTCCCGACCCGCCCGTTCGGGTCTACTTGCCCGATCTGCCCGTCTGGCTCTGCCACGTGCTTTCTGCTCCTAGCCTCTCCTGCTAATCCCGTGGTCCATCCTTCCCCTTCCCCCCTCAACCCGTCCTCTTTTTCCCTGTTTCAGGGGCTGCACGGAATACACGCGGCAGGTAAGGAAGGTATACCACCAGGAGGGTGCGATTGAAAACGAAAAAGGCGGGTACATATGGTTTGGGGAATACGTATCGAATGGCACGCGGGCAGGTACACGCGAGCACTATTAAACTGATTGCTGTTGTTGTTGTTGTTGTTGTTGTTGTTGTTGTTGTTGTTGTTGTCGCTGTTGTTGTTCTCGTTGTTGTGTTTGTTGCTCATGTTATTGATTTTGTTGTTGTTGTTGTTGCTGTTGTTGTTCTTGGTGCTGTTGTTGCTGCACTCTCATTGCTGAGTACGATGTACTGTTGATCACCCCTCAGGGGTAAGCATTTTTCAAATAAAGTGCTCCTCGCAGCGTATTGAAACATCGCGCTCTCGCAAAGAAGTTCCTCACACTTGATGCAGGAATCGCGCTCTCGCGCGGGACTTCTCCACAATTTATCCAAACGCAGCGCCTTCGACACTCAGGAATCACGCTCTCGCTGCGGATTCCCTGACGATTTACTTGGGAATCGCGCTATCACTCAAAATTTTATAGCGATTCATTCAGGACGCGCGCTTCAGCAAACCACCTGCTCGACCTGGCCGCCCGTGCCCGCCTTCCCGACCCGCCAGCTCGCGTCTACCCGCCCGATCTGCCCATCTGGTTCTGCCACGTGATTTCTGCTCCTAGCCCCCCTCCTGCTACTCCCTCTCCTGCTCCCTCCTCCTCCCCCCCTTTGTCCCTTCCTTCCATCCGTCCTCTCTTCCCCTGTCTAGGGGCTGCACGACATACACGTTGCAGGTAAGAAAGAGATAGAAAGAGATACCCCCAAGGGGGTACGATCGAAGACGAAGAGGGCGGGTACCGAGGGTTTGGGATATGCGTGTTGCATGGCACGCGAGCGCATAAGAGCAAACAATCTTAGCATGTGATTGTTGTGTCTGTTGCTGTTGTTGTTGGTGTTGTTGTGGTTCTTGCAGTTGTTGTTGTTGCTGCTGCAATTATTGTTGATCCCCCTGCCCAATAACAATCATTTTCGTTTCAAGTCTGCTTCTCCTGGGGCTCGCACCCTGTTTTCCTAACCATCATGTGGTGTTGCGTCTTCGTTTTGAAGAGACGGTCCCCGCGTTCCTTCTTTCCCCCTCGGCCCCCACCCCTCCACCGCCCGCATGCGTCATCCACAGCAATCTCGGCCCACACCTCACACGTTTCGTGGCCTTACAATGAGCTCCACCGAAGGCCCCAGTGCCACCGCCCGCATGCGTCACGCACACCACTTCGGGCACACCCCTCACACGTTTCGTGGCCCCATCAGGAGCTCCACCGAAGGTCACGCACGCCCATGTCGGCACACCCCTCCCACGTTTCGTGGCTCCACGGGGAGCTCCACCGAAGGCCCCAATGCCACTGCCCGCATGCGTCACGCACACGCTCCACCGAAGGCCCCAGTGCCACCGCCCACATGCGTCACGCACACCCATGTCGGCACAATCCTCACGCGTTTCGTGGCCCCACAGGGAGCTCCACCGAAAGCCCCAATCCCACCGCCCGCATGTGTCACGCACACCCATTTCGGCCCACCTCTCACACGTTTTGTGGCCCCATAGGGAGCTCCACCGAAGGCCCCAGTGCCACCGCCCGCATGCGTCACGCACACCCATGTCGGCACAATCCTCACACGTTTCGTGCCCCCATAGGGAGCTCCACCGAAGGCCCCAGTGCCACCCATCGCCCGAATGCGTCACGCACGTCAATTTCGGCACACTCCTCACACGTTTCGTGGCCCCATAGGGAGCTTCACCAAAAGCCCCAGTGCCACCGCCCGCATGCGTCACGCACACCAATTCTGGCACACCCCCCACACGTTTCGTGGCCCCATAGGGAGCTCCACCGAAGGCCCTGGTGCCACCGCCCGCATGCGTCACGCAAATCGATTTTGGCACACCACTCACATGTTTCGTGGCCCCACAGGGAGCTCCACCGAAGGCGCCAGTGGCTGCGTTCGCATGCGCCCACCGCGCCCATGTCGGCACACCCATCACACGCTTCGCGGCATTACAAAGAGCTCCACCGACGGCCCCAATGGCTGCGTTCGCATGCGCTCACCACGCCGATTTCGGCACACCCCTCACGCGTTTCGTGGCCCCATAGGGAATTCCACCGACGGCCCCAGTGGCTGCTTTCGCGTGCGCCCACCAGACAAATTTTGACATACCCCTCACACGTTTCGTGGCCCTATAGGGAGCTCCTCCGAATGCGGTGCATACACCGACGGTGCTCACAAGTGCATATGGTGGGGTCATGCGCCAGGCCAATTCACAAGTGGAGTGTCGGCCTCCGGTTTACAACAACAGAGGCTCCCTCCTGGTACTTCACCACAATTTATTCCCAAATCGAGCTCTCGCGCGGGACTTCCTCACAATGTATGCAGGAATCGCGCTCTCGCGTGGGACTTCCTCGCAATTTACTCAAACGCCGCGCCTTCGACGTTCAGGAATCACGCTCTCGCTGTAGATTTCCTCATGGCTTACTCGAGAATCGTGTTGTCGTTCGAGATTTCCTCACGATTCATGAAGGACGCACGCTTCAGCAACCTGCCTGCTCGACCTGGCCTCCTGGGCCCGCCTTCCCGACCCGCCAGCTCGCGTCTACCCGCCCGATTTGCCCGTCTGGTTCTGCCATGTGTTTTCTGCTCCTAGCCCCCCTTCTGCTTCTCTCTTTCGTGCTCCATTCTCCTCCCTCCTGGGAGAGAAGCGAACACATTACGATTCCCGTCCTGGTTGGCCGAAAATCGCAAAACTGAAAACGAAATCAAAACGCCCCCCCAGCGTGTTTAACATCAACTGAGGCACTGACCAGGCCCTGGGACCATCAAGAAGCTGCTCAAGATGGGAATCTACTCCTGGGAAAGCGACGTCAATGTTACGACGTCTGGAGCCGGGCCTAGACGCTTCTTGCTGCATTCTGGGTCGGGTCTCCCGGGGCCCCTTCCTGGGACTTCCTGGGGCCACCTGGGGCTTCTCGAAGGCTCCAGAGGCTACCTCGAGAGCAGACGAGAACCCTCGTCGTCCTCGTCCTCCTCGTCGTCCTCCACTTTCAACTCATCCCTCCTACCTCTCCTCCCTCTGGGGTCGCCGTCTTCCTCCTCCTCCTCCTCCTCCTCCTCCTCCTCCTGCTCCTCCCCCTCTGTGCCTCTCCCACGGCCTCCTCCTGTGGACGGGGGGAGCAAATACGGGAGGTGGGCAATTGGTAGATGGCTCAACAAATCAAATTGGATCACCGCGCTCATCGTCCTGATGAACAGCCCTAGCTAGATAGGGTGGAGGGAGATACTATGACCAAAAAGGACGGGGATCGAAATGTTTGACGTTTCTGGGACCCTGGAGACCTCCAGATAACCCTGGTCACCTGACTGGGGGGGGAATGCGAAGGAGGAGGCGGAGGGGAAGAATGGGACATGTGAGCCCTGATGAGAGCCATACTGGGGGTGTTGACGAAGAGTGCCCACAACCAGATAAGGAGTGAGGGATCTCTTCCCGATATGTGCTCGTAGAACATACCAAGGTGGGCAAGGGGCAATAACGATAACCTCCTCATTCACCTCCCCCTCATATTCCTGCTCACTCTTCCTGGTCGTCCTCCCTTTTCATCCTCCTCCTGCTTCTCGTCGTCCTCATCCACATGCTCCTCGACCATCCCTTCCCCTTCTTCCCACCCCCATCTTTCTCCTGCTCCCCTCGGCTCTTCGTCCTCGTCCTCCTCCTCCTCCTCCTCCTCCCCCTCCTCCTCCTCTCCTCCTCCTCCTCTCCCCGTCCTCGTCTTCGTCCTCGTCCTCCTCCTCCTCCTCCCCCTGCCGCATCCTCCTCCTCCTCCTCCTCCTCCTCCTCCTCCTCCTCCCCCTGCCGCATCCTCCTCCTCCTTCTCCTCCTCCTCCTCCTCCTCCTCCATCCTCGTTTCTTTCTGACTAACTCCTCTCTGTCGCATCCCCAGACGTGGCGGTAGGGCGGCCGGGGCGTTGCGCATGGAGGCTTCCTCACCGTTCATGAGCTCGAAGCCTGAACTTTGCAACAGTTTGGCGGAAGGCTGGCGGGCCGCTTTCAAACTCACACCTTGCCTCAGCGCCAAGCACATTCGTCTTCAAAGTCTGCGGTCATTTCACGGATGGAGGGCGGGCCGTCTTAACATGTGGCTCTCGCCGTAGCGCCGCGCACACTCGTCTTAAACACTTGCGACATATTCACACACGGAGGGCGGGCCGTGTTCAAAAAGGTGGTTCTCGCCGCAACGCCGCGCACACTTGTAGTCAAAGGTTGCAGCATTTTCACGGGTGGAGGGGGGCTCCTTTTTAAAAGGTGGTTCTCGTCCCAGCGCCGCGTAAATGCAACAACTTCGATGATTCGTATGATGGAAGTCCTGGGCAATCCATGCTGGCACGATTTAGGATTGCTAAGAAGCAACAGTCACCGTCATTCGCTGTGTCCCAGGAACGATGTTCTCTTACGCTCTAGGAGTGCCAGGACTCAACGGTCACGCTGATTCGTGGCGCCGAAGTTCCAAGAGTAGTGTTCTAGCACGAAGAGGAGACTCTCAAACGGTCGCCTTCCAACGTGGCGCTTCCCGCAATGGACATGCATGTTTGTATTGACCTGTGAAGAGGGGCCATGGAGGGAGGGCTTGTTGCAGCATCGTTGCCGCGCCTTGAGTTTACACTGGTCCTCCTGGTCCTCCTCCTCCTCCTGCCTCCTCCTCCTTCTCCTCTCCTTCTTCCTCCTCCTCCTCCCTCCTCCTCTCACTCTTCCTCCTCCTCCCCCCCTTCCTGGTCCTCCTCTTCTCCCTCACTCCTCTCCCTTCCGTTGCCTCCCCCGCCTCGCGCCCACCCGCCTCTCCAGCGCCCGCGCCCGCGCAAGAGGCGGCCGACCCGCGGTCGCGCGGGGGGGGGGCGATCCAGGGCGTCGCGGAGGAGCCGCCGCGCGGCGCCGAGGCCAGCCTGGGCGGCGGGCCGCGCGCGGAGGTGGCCTTCTCGCGGGGAGGCGGGGGGGGGCCCGAGGGAGCAAGGCAAGGGGAGCGAGGACATGGACGGAAGCGGCGACAAGACGAGGACGAGGACGCCGAGGAAGCGGAAGGATGATGAAGAGGACGAGAGTGCAGATGAGAAGGAAGAGGAGGGATGAGGAAGATCTGGGAGGAGGGTATTGGAAGAGGGCGAGGATGCCGAGGGCGGGGGGGGTCAGGCCTTCTCGCCTCGAGGCAACGGCGGGGAGGCCTTGTCGCGGAGGCGTGCAAAACGTCTGGGGGGCTCAGTCCGGAGGGGAAGGCCGCGCCCCGAGGGGGGGGGGAGGGGCAGGATGGGGGGAGGACGCGCCAGGCGCGCTCGCGAAACATCTGACATCCTGCCCCTCTCACCCGTCCCTTCTTACCGCACCGATCTTTTATCTACCCGCCGGCGGGTGTTACAGTGGTGCTGGGACCGTAAAGTACGCCATCGTTTTGCGCCCAATCAGGAACAACGGGAACTGCGTGCATTTGAGGAGGTTGCGGATGAGCAAGAGGATGAGCAAGAAGAAGAGGAGGATCAGGAAGGAGGAGGGTGAAGCAAACATCAGCAGCACAAGCAGGAACGACAGGAGTAGCAACGTGACCAGGGGAAGACGGTGGAGAGGAACCGAAGAGGGTGAGAATGACGAGGAAACACGCGAATCCAGAAATGTTGCCCGCACTGGGGCAAACGCTCCATTCGGAACGATGGGAGCAGCATGCTGGTCTTTAAATGAGGCCAGCGCTGCAGCGGGAACATCATTTTGAAACGCCGAACATGTCTCGTCTGACCAAACGGTGGGGAAAACGTGTCTTTATTGTTAAACCTCGCTTGCTTTTCAAGCAACCAAAGCAACACGCGCTGACGCGGTTATTTCAACGTTGTGTTTAAGAACGTTGCCAATTTGACTTATGCGAATAACGTTCAAAACGGGAAAAACGTTCAAAACTAAACGCGGGCTATCGGCATTGGGAAAGCTGCGTCGCCGGCGCTGCCGCGCAATCTGGAAGAAGGAACGGGAAGTGCGCCGCTGTCATGCCAGTGCCGTTGAGGCCCGCGCGCGGGTGCGGATCCATGGCGATCCTTCTACGCCGTCGGATGCGATGGGCGCGGTGTTGCACGTGGCCGGCGTGGCTCTGCTGTCTGCAACGTCGGCGTATTTCGAAGCAGCGACGGCAATTCCGCCAATGGGGCGGGCATGCGTGGCCACGTGCTCGAACGGACATGTATTGCCCGCCGCCGCGAGTGGCGCCGCATCCACGTCGTCGCTGCCGAAAAAACACTCAGCGACCATCGCCAGAACAGCCGCCCATGCATATTCTTCCCTGGCCATTAACAACTACCCAGCGATCCGCGCCATCGCTGCCGGCCGAATCCTCCCACGAACGCACAAAACGCACTCCCTCACCCCTCTGGGCGGGCGCGCGCGCGCCCGCGTGCGCGCCCGGGCACTCGCAGACGCTGAGACGCACGCGCGCACATGCAATGCATTGCCTCCATTTTCCTCTCGACGAGCGCGCGCCATCGCGCGACAACACGCATGCGCGTTCAAAATGTTCTCTTTCTCCCTCCACTGAAAGCGCGCGCGCGCCTGCTCTCGCATGCGCGCGCGCGCGAGCGCGCGCGCGGGGGCGCGCGCGCGCCGGCGCGCGCGCGCGCAAGCGCATCAAACGTGCTCTCCCTTGCCCCTCCTCTGGACGGGCGCGCGCGCGCGTGCGCGCCCGCGCGCGCGGGCGCAGGCGCGCGCGCGCGTCGTCGCCAACGACAACGCGCGCTCGCGCGCCAGAATGCATGCACACGCTCGAACTGACCCCCCCCCTCCCTTTCCTGGACAATCGCGCGCGCAAGCGCATGCGCGCCCTCGCGCGCGCAGGCGCGCAGGCCTGCGTGAACACTCGCGCGCGTATTCACATTGGTGCATCCGCGTGCGCGCCGACGCACGCGCGCGCTAACGCGGACGCGCTGACGCACCGACGTGCACTCATGCGCGCAAACGTTCAACGTGCACTTCCTACCCCCTCCCCCTACAAGCACGCTCGCGCGCGCGTGCGCGCCAACTCGCGCGCGGGCAGGCGGGCGCGCGCGCGCCGAGACGCGCGCGTTAAAGTTGCGCCCCCCAGCCCTCCTCTGGACAGGCATGCGCGCGCGCGCCCGCTTACGCGCAGAGGCACGCGCGCAGACTACCGCCGCGCGCGCGCGCAAATGCGCGCGCCAGTGCGCGCGCGCACATACGCACTCAAAGTGCACTTTCTCCTCTGGGCGAGCGCGCGCGCGCGTGCATGCGCATATTCAAAATGCACTGCCCCCCCCCCCTCTGGCTGCGCACGCGCGCGCGCGTGCGCTCGCGCGCGAAGGGGCGCGCGGACCACCGCCAAGCACGCGCGCATTGAACTTGCGCTCCCTCCTCTCCCCTCCCAACAAAAAAGCGCGCCTGCGCGCGCGCAAAATGCGCCCCCGCTCCGCTCCTCTGGACGAGCACGCGCGCGCATGCGCAACCGCGCGCGCGTGGGCGCGCGCGCGCGCGCCAACGCGCCATATTCATGAGGCGCTGCCTCCTCCTTCCGCTGGGCGAGCGCGCGAGCAGGCGCGCGCGCGTGCGCGTCAACTTGCGCGCTCACGCGCGCGCGCGCAGTCCGAATGAACTCCGCCCCCTGTACTTCCCCCCCTGGAGGAGGACGCGCGCGCGCGCGTGCGCAGACAGACGCGCGCGCGCAACAACGCGCGCGCACGCGCGCGCGCAACGTGCACTACCCCTGCCTCTTCTGGACAAGCACGCGCGCGCGCAAACCATGCGAGCGAGCGCGCAAACGCGCGCGCGCGCCGAGGCGCGCGCGCGCGTTCAGAATGCACCCCCCTCTCCCTCCTCTGGACAGACGCGCGCGCGTGCGCGCCCAATTGCGCGCAGCGGTGCGCGCGCGCCACCTTCGCCCGCGCGCGCATTCAAAATGCACTCCGTCCTCTCTTCCCTTGACGAGCACGCGCGCGCGCGCGCGCGCCGAGCCGGGCGCAGACGCGCGCGCGCACGCGCGCAAACGCGTGCGCGCACATTCAAGATGCACTCCCCCCGTTCTACTCTAGACGTGCGCGCGCGCGTGCGCGCCCGCGCGCGCGCGAAACGAGACGCGGACGCGCGCGACGTGCGCGGCGTCCTGCCCCCTCTGGGCGAGCACGCGCGCGCGCGTGATCCCCCACTCGCGCGCGCGCGCAAACATGCGAGCGCGTCGAACATGCGCTCCCCCCCCCTCCTCTGGGCGGGCGCGCGCGCGCAGATGTCTCCGCTCTCGCGCGCGCATGAGCGCATTCAGCATGCGCTCCATCTTCCCTTCTTCGGGCGAGCGCGCGCGCGCATGTGCATTCGCTCGCGCGCGCGCAGGCGTAGGCGCGCGCGCCGCCAGCGACGTCGACAAACACCTGAAAACTGTTCGCTCTCATGTGCTCGCGTGTTAAGCAACGTGCCCCTTTTTGTTTTCGAATGTGCCTTCCTTGGGGGTATATCCTCAAGAATCCTAGAGACGCCCTGGAAGCTCCCAGGATCCCGGGCGTGACCTCAGAGGCTCCCGCGATGTATTATACTCCTCCTTCTGTTCCTCTTCTTCCCCCTCCTCTTCCCCCTCCTCCTAAGCCAGGCGTCGCAACCGCCGCCTTGCCGAGAGAGCGACGCGTCGTCCTCCTCCTCCTTCTTCAGGCGCTCCCTCCGCACTGGTGGAAAAGACAAAGAAAGGTAATCTAATAAATACAAGGGCAAGACAGCGGTCTACTAATGAACAAGATATTCGCCCAATCCCCAGATCATTCCCGGCCTGCGCGTTTTCATTGTGAAATCCTTCCCGAGCCCAGAACCCTTCCAACCCATTCGTTTTCTTTGAAGACCAGCCCGGGAACCCTTCCCAACCCGACCGCTTGCTTTGCAAAATCAATTCCGGTCCCGAAATCCTTCCCAACCCAAGCGTTGTCTTTGTATGATCATTCCCGACCCCCAAATCATACCATCATCTGAAAACTCCTAAGAGCCCACATGAAGAGACCGCCCTGGGCTCAATTCTTTTTGATCTCTGGGATATTTCCATCTCGCCACCGCAAGTCCCACCTTTTGTCCAAGAATCGCTGCGCGGAAGCGAGTCGATTCCGCAATTTCGACCCAGCGCCCACATTCCGAATCCAACGTGCTTCCTAAGCCGCAAGCCTTTCTGATCCTTCAAAGAATCCAACCAGTAAATCTTCGCATTCTGATTTGTGGGATTCCCAATGCAAAATCGCAAATTATCGCGAACCAGCGCCAGCGATCCAGGGGGGTCGCGGCCGCCAGGCGCTCTTGGACGGGCCCTGGGGAGGCCCGGCGCAATCCCAAACAATCGAAAACCAGGGTCGGCGAGCTGGGGTGTCGCGACCGCCAGGCGTTATTGGACGGGCCCTGGAGACTTTAAGCGCGCTCGCAAATGAAGGGCCAGCGAGCCAGGAGGGTCGCTGCCGCCAGGCGTTGTTGGACGGGCCTTGGACAGGCCATACACACTTGCAAATAATCGAACGCCAGCGCCAGCAATCCAGGAAGGTCGCGGCCGCCAGGCGATTTTTGGCGACTTTAAAACGAAAAAACATGCAACAAGTAATCAAGCAACTACTTGTTCATGCTGGCACACATTTTTCTGCCATTGTTGAAACCATTTAACCTGAGTTAACCTATCAGCTTTGCGATCCCGTGAAAACGACGCAATGCCCAGAGCACGTCTTCGGGGGAGGGGAGGCCAGCAATGTTCACAGTGTGTAACTGTGGAGGAGGAAGACGGGAACGAGGAGGACGAGGAGTAGCGAAGGACGAGGACGAGGAGGAGGGAGGGAGGACGAGGACGAGGATGCCGAGGACGAGTGAAAGAGGGAGGGAGCGAGGGAGCGAGGAAGCGAGGGAGGAAAAAGGGGAGGAGGAGGGAGGAGGAGGAGGAGGAAAAGGAGGAGGAAAAG